TTAATTAAGTCTCTGACTTTCTGCTATTATTGTTGCCAATTCTTTGGTTTGTTTTAATGGCATTTCCTGAAATACTATTTGATCTGGAATATTCATAGTATTTAACACGAGTATATTTGACATACCTAGAAAATGTAACTGTTTGATAGACAATAAATTTAAATTTCAGCAGTTCTGAAGAGTTCCTAAAAAATCACTACTAGAGTTACTACCTACACATTCCAGCCCCTATTAACACAGCCTGGGGGGTGAGGGGTTACCTCCTTCTCCTCTGGGCAGTACAGAGGCCCTGTAGGATGAAGAACAGCTTTCTGTGCATAATAAAAGAGCTCTGATATATTCTTCAGGTTTTTTGCTGAACACTGAAAAAAAAAAGAGTTTAAAATGTTATACTCTTAAAGCATTTATTGGAGTTAAAGACAATTTTTAATCAATGCAAGGTAATAATAAAATTGCTTGAAGAAACTGAAAAATACATTTTTCTTTGTTGATATCACAACAGTAACATCTGTTAAGAACACAGCAGCCAACTCCAAGTTCTCTGTTTTATCTCGTTCACATGAGTCCACAAATAGCAGGAAATTTATTCCATCCCACACCTTCCCACATCCTATTTCAAACCGCGGTTCAGTGAGAATTCACCAGTAGTAAATTTCAAAATCAAAGACATACCTCCACACAGGTTTCTATTTCTGTGTACTGGTTCATAATGGGAAGGATGGTCTCCATACTGCTGTATTCCACCAGATCAGATTTGTTCCCAACCAGTATCAAAGGCAGCCTGAAATAAACAGGATACGTTGCAACAATAAGGAAGGCAAAAGACCTTAAATATCTATTTTGAAGTATATAAACTCATTCTAACTCCTAAGCTTTACTTAATCCCCCCACACGAACCTCTACTGTAGTCAGCTCTGGTCCCCTGGAGACATGTTCATATTCAACAAGTATTTACTGAGTACTCCTTTTTCAAAAATCTTTAGGTTTATTTATTTTCTTTAGGAATCTCTACACCCCACGTGGGGGCTGAACTCACAACCCTGAGATTAAGAGCTGCGTGTTCTTTCAATTAAACGATCCAGGTGCTGAGTACTTTTATAAGCTAAGTACCATTCTTTTTTTTTTTTTAATTTTTTTTAATGTTTTATTTATTTCTAGGAGAGAGAGAGAGAGACAGCGTGAGCAGGGGAGGGTCAGAGAGAGAGGGAGTCACAGACTGAAACAGGCTCCAGGCTCTGAGCTGGCAGTCAGCACAGAGCCCGACGCGGGGCTAGAACCCACGAACCGCGAGATCATGACCTAAGCGAAAGTCGGACGCTTAACCGACTAAGCCACCCAGGCGCCCCAGCTAAGTACCATTCTAAGCATTAAGGATGTAAGACAAAGTCCCTGCCCATTCTAATAATGAAAATCAGAAAATGGACAAAAAGCAAATAAACAATACACTTCCAATTCCGTAAGTGCTATGAAGAAAATAAATAAGGGAATATGGCACAGAGTAATTGGAGGGGGCTAACTACATGGTAATCAGGAGGAAAGCTCTCCGACAAGGTGGTATTTGAGCCAAGCAGTGAAGGATGAAATGGAATGTGCCCTGTGAAGAGCTGGAAAGGAACTGTTCGGGAAGAAAGGACAGCACGTGCATAGAGCTCAAATTGGAAAAACATCCTGGTGAGTCCAAAGAACAGAAAAACAGAAAGAAAAATGGCAGAGTGGCTGGAAAGTATTAAGCAAAAGGAAAGAGGTGTGAAATGGGGTTGGAAAGAGGAGCGAAGGCCAGACACATTAGGTGCAGTGAGGAGTGTGCATTTTTTTATAAGTTTAAAACAAGAAGCCACTGAAGAATTACCTGTAGGGGAACAAGATGATTGATCAACATTTTAAAATGAATCATATATTGTCTTTTAGAGATACATATTGAAATATTTACAGTATGATTTGTTCAAAATGATCCCAATGGGAGGGGTAATAAATGAAACAAGATGGACCATGAATTGATAACTGATGAAACGGGATGACAGATACAGAGGGATTCATTAGATGATTCTCTCTACTTTTGTACGTTTGACTTTTTTCAATAACAAAAAGTCTTTAAAATGTGGCAGCTTGGATTAGAGCAGTGAAGATGGAGAGAAAGTATTCAGATTTGAGGTATGTTTTAGAAGCAGAACTGATAGGAGCAAGTGGTAGATTAGATATGGAAGTTGAGGGCAAGGCAGAAAATCAAGAAAAATACGTAAGTTTTTGGCTGGACAAAATGAACAGATCTCCTGTGACAGAAAAGATTGATTTGGGGGCGGGGTAGGAAGCAGGCAGGGAATTAAGGATTTTGTTTTAGACAAGTTAAATCTGACAGGCCTATCGGAAATCTAAATAGGGATTATCAAAGAGAGCTAGTCTAGTAGGGAACTGTTATTTGTACGTCCTGCAAGAGAGCTTGGAGAGAAAGCAAATCATCTTTCTGGAACTCCAAATAGCAAGAGAAATTCTTGCAAACATTTATTTACATTTATTACTCCACCCCCAACCCCAGTATGGTTATGCATTAAGGGACTGGCTCACTATATAACCCAAATATCGATTCCTAACAGAGTCAAGAGGTTTCCAATGTAGTGATCTGCAACTGAAGGTGTGCTCAAAATATTTATGGGGCTTAAAGAAATATACATGTCCAAGCCCTACTCCAAACCTACAGATTCTAAAACTCTAGGGGTGGGCCAAAGGCACCTACAGGCTTTGAAAATACCTCAGGTGACAGTGATGGACACCCCGATTAAGAACTACTGTGACAACAGTCCAAGGAAATCCTAAGGAAAAATATATGTGCAACAAATATAAACTTAAGGTATGAGGCCCAGGGAAGAAGTTACTGGGAAAGTGTAAGGTCCATATAATAAAGAAACAGACCACCTTAGGACAAGTCAACCACAAGAAAAATAAGTATGCTCATATGATTCAGGAAGGGGGGATAAAACAGCCACACCTAAGAAAGCTCAATTCAATTTTCAAACGTTAAAAGCTCCTTTCCCAGCAGGGCCACAAAACTAGCCATGGAATTTTAGGAAGCTGTCATAGTAAAACTAATTTTTTAAAATTCAATGGTCCAAATTGAATTCTGGTGCTTGATGGATCCCAGAAAAAGTGCCTTCTCTGAAGAGTCACCTCTGGAAACAGCTCAAGTGTTTAGCAAGAAGAGCAAGTGTTAGAGCATACGGCTGTGGGCTCCTCCAAGGCAGCCCTCGCTGATACACCTTCCATCTGTGTTGATGGCAATGATACTGACCTGTACTGTCCATTACCGTCACCACTAGCCTCAAGTGGACACTAGCTCCACAGGGCCATTCTTCCCCTTTCACCTTGTCAAGAAGTCACTACAAAGTTTACAGCGAAGGGGGTGCCTGGGTGGCTCAGTCAGTTGAGTGTCTGACTCTTGATTTCAGCTCAGGTCACTATCTCACGGTCATTGGAAAGGCTCTGTGCTCTCTCTGCCCCTCCCCTGCTCACACGCACACGTGTTTTCTCTCTCTCAAAATAAACAAACAAACATTAAAAAACAACAAACTTTAGAGCTATAACAAAGAGCTGCAAGACACAGCATACACAGTGTCATCTCAGTCACAAAGCTGGCCTCCGTAAGTGTATGAGGCAAGGTCAATGACCATGTTCATCTGCTTAGAACCAGATCTTTACAGTCTGAAGGCACAAAATTGTCCAATCAAAAGAGAAATCTGATTTTCCTAATGTTTAAAAATACTCAAATGCCTCATAAATAACATGTTCAATTGAATAATACTGGAAGAAAAATTTTTGGTTTCCATTTTCGCTTAAAACTCAAAACATACCCAAAACTATCGTTCTCAGAAAAAGACAGAAGGTGTGTTCCATTACTTTTTCCCCATCAAACATATATCTTCCAAAGAACTTCAAAGAAATCTCCCTGTATGAATTCCTAAATAAAGATCTCTAGCAATCTTATATGCACATTATCTCATTAGACCCTCAAAATTACAACATGTAGCCAAGACAGGTATTATCCTCTTCTCCACTACAGATGAGGAAGTAAGGCTCAGTGAAGTCAAAGAGTTAAAGCTGATTAAGTAGACAAGCCAGATCTCAAAGGTCATTCATTTTCCTCCAAGTCCCATGCTCTTATATACACCACACTGTGAGCAATCAGTGACAGAGACGGAAGGCAATGTCATTTCATTACAGAGGCACCTCCAGACAGAAGCACTTATACGACAGGTGAAGAGGAATTCCAAAGCTCAGACTTTTCTTTCTTTTCTTCTTAAACAAAAAACTTTTTTTATGTTTTATTTATTTTTGAGAAAGAGAGACGGTGTGAGCAGGGGAGGGACAGAGAGAGAGGGAGACACAGAATCTGAAGCAGGCTCCAGGCTCTGAGCTGTCAGCACAGAGCCTGACGCGAGGCTTGAACCCACGAACCATGAGATCATGACCCGAGCCGATGTCAGACGGCCAACCGACTAAGCCACCAGGCGCCCCAAGCTCAGACTTTTTAAGTGGCAGTTTGAGAAAGAGAAATAACATAAGATTAATTATCAAAATACTTAATGTCTGAAGTTGTAAATCATTATAGTACCAGAGTTCTCTTTTCTGCTTTGCTCACAAATATATGTGCTGCCTCAATTCCTCACCTAAACAGTGTGTCTGTGTATAAACAGAGAAAGACCTATAGGCAACGCAAATGTGGCAAAATGTTACTAGTGGATGTAAATGGAAGGTTTACACTGTTCATTGTACTATTTCTTGCAACTTTTCTCTTAAGTTTGAAAATTTTCAATATACCAAGTTGCAGAGAAAAAAAATACCTGCTGTCTTTGTCCGTTCTTTCATTTATGAGAGGAATCCATCGACTTGTCACCTAAAAAAAAAAATTGACAAGAGCTAAACCATGATGTGGCTCTTCTCTGAAAAATACTCTGTCCTTGGACCCCTAAAACTCTAAGTTGAGGATCAATTTTATTTTTGGTGGGGGGGAGGGCACCGGGACCAATGATCACCAGTTGCCAGGGTACCAAAAAATTATGCTTCTGAAATCTCTTGATGTCGATTCCCCACGAAGAGCAACGAAGCTGCCCTACGTGCGCCACTCACAACAGAAGCCCTTTTTTTGAGGATCAATTTTAAAGTGCCCTCACTGAAATTTAACTAAACATAGTGAAAAAAGTCACACATTCATACCTTATCAATAGAATGCTTGTTGTTAACAGCATAAACTATGCAGATGACATTTGCCTATAAGAGAAATTAATGGCATTTTAAAATAATACAAACGTAAATGATAGCATTTAATTACCAACTAGCTAATGTATTTGGGCTAAAGAAAGAATAAAATTTGAAACCTAAAAAACCCCCAAACTTAGCATGCTTCTACGGGGAAAAATTCCTAAGCAAAAATATATAGTCAAAGCAGTAACAACAATGAGCTGAAAAAGCCTGAGTGAGAGAATGAAAAAGACAAAACTCACAGAATCATAGGTGTTTTCCCACATAAAAACCTGCAGCTATTTTCTAACTCACCTGTGATATCTCTTGATGAAGTTGTTCATCACTCTGTTCTGCCTCTACAAATGACAAAGTCAAAAAACGGCCACTATTTTAAACAGTTTCATAAGAATGAATGACAAAGCTACCATCTACATGGCCCCCCTCCAGCATCCCCCGTCCCTCGTGTCACCTACACAGTGTGGGGCCAGATGAGGCGAGAAGACAAGGGCAAGCCCGGGAAAGGGACAAGCTGGGCTCCGATAAGGAAGCTGGCTGGCACTGAAAGACGAGTCTACCAGCGGCCAGCTCAGGCACACAAGAGCAGAAGGCACTGTGTGATAAATCTAGGCCAGCATCTGATCCTTGAGAAGGGTCAGGCCGAAGAGATCAGAAACCAAGCCCGAAGACTCGGTGGAGGAGTCAGAAGTCCAGACAAAGAATCCATACACACCAGGGCAGAAGGCCAGGTGAGAATCTGGGCAATACAAGCTCAAGAGCTTGTATCTTAAGGGAGCAGGCCCCAGAGGCAAAACTGTAGCCTGGCAGGGGCGCCTGGGTGGCTTAGTCGGTTAAGCGTCCGACTTTCGCTTAGGTCATGATCTCGCGGTTCGTGGTTCGAGCCCCGCGTCGGGCTCTGTGCTGACTGCCAGCTCAGAGCCTGGAGCCTGTTTCAGTCTGTGACTCCCTCTCTCTCTGACCCTCCCCTGCTCACGCTGTCTCTCTCTCTCGTCTAGAAATAAATAAAAAA